GCAGGAAAGGGGGGGGGCAGGTGTGTGGAAACCCAATGTAAACAAACTGTGTGGGGGGGAAGGAGGGAGAAGAAGTGGGTAGTGTTTAACTCTTCACTGCCTGGAGCTCAGGGCCTCTCCCCCTTTCTCCCTCAAGAACCTGGGATGACTCTTCCCTAGCTCAGAGCCCCCCTTACACTGCACCTTCTGCCCCTCGACAATACAGGGCCCCACTCCCATCCCAACCTTAGCCCCCCCACCTCTCTATGCACAAGCCTCAGGCCAAGTTCTGCGTGGACGGAGTGTTTAACTCTTCACTGCCTGGAGCTCAGGGCCTCTCCCCCTTTCTCCCTCAAGAACCTGGGATGACTCTTCCCTAGCTCAGAGCCCCCCTTACACTGCACCTTCTGCCCCTCGACAATACAGGGCCCCACTCCCATCCCAACCTTAGCCCCCCCACCTCTCTATGCACAAGCCTCAGGCCAAGTTCTGCGTGGACGGGCACTCAGTAGTGTGTGCAAAGGCCCATGGGGGGAGGGGAGAGACATGGCAGGATCCCCGTGGGATGACTCTTCCCTAGCTCAGAGCCCCCCTTACACTGCACCTTCTGCCCCTCGACAATACAGGGCCCCACTCCCATCCCAACCTTAGCCCCCCCACCTCTCTATGCACAAGCCTCAGGCCAAGTTCTGCGTGGACGGGCACTCAGTAGTGTGTGCAAAGGCCCATGGGGGGAGGGGAGAGACATGGCAGGATCCCCGTGTCAGTGACCCAGAACTAGGGATGTAAAATCCCATTTAATGAGTTAACTGGTTAAACATTAAGTTTAACTGGTTAACCTATTAAATGCACTTGGGCAGGGTGGCCCCTCCCTGTGGCCAGGCTGGAGCCCCCCCTGCCCGTGGCCAGGCTGGAGCAACCCCTTCTTTGGCTGGGCTGGACCCACAGCAAACAAAAACAAGAGCTGCTCAGGCCAGGCTGGAGCACCCTGCCCTCCCCGCCCACAGCGGAAGCAGCCCTACACCCACAACGGGCGGATGGCTGTTCCAGTTAACATTCTTACCCAGAACCCAAGGCCAGGCTGGCCAGGGGCTGCAGGTTGGGATTGAGGAGGACTGGGAGGGGCGGGGCTGCGGGTCAGGAGTGAGCGGCACCAGATGAGGCTGGGCTGGCCGGGAACTGCGGATCAGGAGTGAGGGGCACTGGGCGGGGCTGGGCAGGCCAGGGGCTGTAGGTTGGGATTGAGGAGCACTGGGTGGGGCTGGGCTGGCTGTGGGTCGGCAGTGAGGGGCACCAGGCAGGGAAAGGCTGGCCAGGGGCTGCGGGTCGGCAGTGAGGGACACCGGGCACGGCCAGAGTCTACACGTCAGATGGGAAATGGGGGGCTGTGAGTCAGGAGTGAGGGGCACCGGGCTGTGGGTAAGGGATGTGAAAGACTATTCAATTATCCGATAAGCAAATGCTTATCGGATAGTCGACAGAATAGTTGACTAGTTGCTCCTCCCTCTTGCTGGCTCTATCAGAAAGAGGCAGCAAGGGGGGCGACAAGGGGGGGTACTTCAAAGCGGCAGCGCTGCATGGAGCGTGGGGTCAGCTGCTCCGTGTGGCACTGCTGCTTTGAATGCTGTGGGGAGCCCAGGATCAGCTGGGGACTCCCCAGCTGACCCTGGGCTCTGTGCAGCGCTGTTGCTTTGAAATGCCGTTTCAAAGAAGCAATGCTGCATGGAGCCTGGAGTCAGTGGGGGAGTCCCCAGTTGACCCTAGCGCTTTGGTGCTTTCACCTTTGAAGTGTAGCAACAGCCCTCAAGCTGTTGTTACACTTCAAAGGCAGAGGTGTCCTATTGACTAGTCAATTACCCGATACTTAACATCCCTACTGGGGGTCAGGAGTGAGGGTCACCGGGCAGGGCCGGGGTGGCTGGGAGTTGCAGGTCGAGAGTGAGAGGCACTGGATGGGGCTAGGTTGGCTGGGGGTCAGGTGGGGCACAGGAGCTGCGAGTTGGGAGTGAGGGGCACCGGGCTGTCACTCACCTTGCAGTTGGGACTTGATTTCTTGAAGACCCTGGGGAGGAAAAGGGGTGGGGGAAGGGGCATAGGTCAGAACTGACTGACATGGGCCTCCCCAACTTCAGCCCCCCCCATCTCAGGGGTCCACCAGGCTGACCTTTGACCTTTGCCTTCCAAGCAGCAGCTCAGCTGGGGGGAAGGGGGGGGGGG